TTTTACCTGTAACTGTTTATGTTTTATGGAACAACTGAGAATAAAAATATTATATTTAATGCTGCTTCAGGTTTTAAGAGAAGCCCGTAATTAAAGAAAAAGGCTGAGTCATTCAATACTTAGAATTGTTCAAATATTAGTGTAAAATTTTTCAACTTTCTTATCTTGACACTTTATTTGTTGTAATAATAATGCTTTAAATCACAGATGTCCTCTAAAATATTAGATTTTACAAGAAAGTGCTTTTGATTAATGTGAATTCATGGTTACATATTTTATAAAAGAAAATGTATGTTAATACTAGAAAGGGAGGATGTTTTGCATCAAAAAAGATATTTAAAAAACTATAGGAAAAGCAGTGAATTTTAAATAAATATAGATTCTATGTTATTTTTCTTTTGAAAGTAATGACAGCAAGGAACTTTTACATGCTGTTAATAAATACCACTATCCCATCCCCAGAATAACTGTGATTCAAATTTCTCTTGCTTTCAATCAGCATCTCTTTCCCCTTTATTATCTGAATTGATTCCATATAAATCACCCAAGAGTTGGTGCAATGCTTAAATGTAAAGGAACAAAATCTGAGAGCGAAAAACCAGACTGGTTATACAATGTTATGTAATCTCTTTAAATGAAGCCTCATTTTAAAAGTAAATAGAACGAAGACAGAGCGGTTAATCACATGGGCCCTCTCGAGCTGGTCCTTTATGACTCGGCCACTTGCACGGCAGCTGTTCATGTAAATACGACAATAAATTTCTAAATCTCCGGAGAACTGCCGGATCCAAGCAGACGCACTTAAGTGCTGGTGGGCAACAAGAGTCGGACTGCGGGCAACGGTGGCGCTAATGTGGCTTTTGATTAATCTCTAATTGCAGTTTTGTCATCTTAGCGGGGAGAGAAAACGCTATCACTTTCTAAAAAGGCAAGCGGCGGCGTTTGGGCACCTAGCAACAGCAGCCGGCCTGCAGGCCGCGGTGGGCGCAGCGCTGGCTGCCGCAGGGCGGGCAGGATCGCGCTCTGTTCTTCGCGGGCAGCCTCTGCAGAGGCCTTCAGGATGGTAGATGGATTAGCAGCTTAATAGGCCAGCCCCAGCTAAAATCCGAGCACGAAACTGAAGCGTGACTCGACTGTCGTGTTTGCATCAGACATTAAAAAAAAAAATTTAAAAATTCCACTCATTTATTTCTGTTAATTACTCACAAGCAAGACATACACGGGAGCATTTGATTAAAAGCCTTGTCGCTGCGTTTTTCATTGTCTCGTGTTAGCGTAAAGTGCGTACATTAAAACTTTGCGATTTGACAGCGAAAATTTCATTTTCTTTCCTCTGCAGGGATTTTCTTGGTTTCCTTCTTAAACACAGAGATGTTCAGCAGCAGGCATTCATTAGGGCTGCGCAGCTCCGACCGCCCTCACCCAGCTCAGCACTGACACCGAGCCTGACGTTCATCGTGCTTCCACTTCCCTCTCACTTTAGGTGTGATGAGAAGGCCCCAAGAATGATCTCACGCCTCTGGGTGGTGTCAGCAATTGGAAGGGTGGCATAAAATTCTTAAGTACTTTTTCTAAGGGCAATCCACAGGTTAATTTGCTTAATTGAAACTCATGGAGCATCATCCTTAATCGTAGTAGTAGAGATTATATTATTACTATGATCCTGTTCAAGAAGCATAAAAATGATACCAAAATTATGACAACTTTTCATTTACTATGTTCATTAAAATTACATTCTAAAAAATGGCACGGTATGACATCACAATATGAATTTTTAAAATACTGCATTGTATTCTTCAATAATGAGTCTCATGAAAAGAATTGTTTCCAAAATTAAAATTCTGTCCACACACTGGCATATACGAATAATTTGAAGTTTGTCTGATGATGTAAGCATTTAAGGTTATTTTTCAAACTAACATTGCAATAATAATATATTATAAATAAAATCAAATTTCCTTTCATTCACCTATATAGAATAATTTACACTAATAGTGGCTATCCCACTTTGTTGAAATGTGACCACTGACACTCAAATTTATTTCTCTATATATTTTTCTTTGGAAAAAAATTTTTAGTGTTATTTATTTCTAGTTTGAGGTCTGTCTCTAAGACTTTCCAATATGATTACTAATATCCTTTACCACCCACAGAGTACAAGAAGGCCCTTACCTCCCATCCTCACTAACCCTCATCCGATCTCTTCTTTCTGTTAATTACTCACTAACAGGAGTGAAGTAACTCCCCATTGTGGTTTTAGGTCTCACTTCTCAGTCTCTGTGTAACTGGGGACCATTCACATTTTCTTGTGTGAAATAGCTGCCCCGTCTTTTGTCTTTTTAAAAATTATTTTTCTAATATTTGTATAGAGCTGTTTTAGCTCATTGTGCATTTTGGATATTAGGCTCTTACCTGATGTCTGGTTTGCAACTATTTTCTCCCAGTATGTGCTTTGTTTCTTTCCTGAGTTGACTGTTTCTTTTCTGTGCAGGAGCTTTAGTTTACTGCAGGCTTTCACTGCCCACTTTTGCTTTTGTTGCCTCAGTATCTGGAGTTCTAGCCAACAAGCAATGTCCTAGACCTATATTAAGGAGTTTTTCCATGTTTATTTTTTTTTCTAGTAACTTCACATTTTCCGGTTTTGTATGTAATCTTTTATTCATTTTCATTAATTTTTAATATGGTGTGAGATAAGTGTCAAGTTTTCTTTTTGTACATGTGGATATCTATTCCTGTCAGTATAACTTATTGAAAGGACTGACCCAGCCTCATTGTGCAGTGGTGACACCTTTGTCAAAAATGGATTAACTACAAAATCCCACTTGGAAGGATTGATCTAAAGACATTGAAATTCTTGCATTAAAGATAAATCCACAATTTTAAGCTTATTTCATCAAAATAATCATGATACAGAAGTGAGCTAAAAATGCATTAATGGATGAAAGGATGAATAAAGTGTCATATATTTATTTAACTATAAAACATTGCACTTAGAATTTGTGATAAAAATTTTATTATATGTTAAGTAAATAATTATTTTTTATTCTGATGGAGTTCAATGTGATATTTTGATCTACATGAATAGTGTAGTGGTTGACTGATGGTGTCAACTTGAGGAGCTAGGAGCGGAACTAAATCGGCTCAGCAATTCAGTGAGGAAGGATGAGGGTTCCATTCTTCCTCGGAGGAGCTCTAGTCTTCGCCATCATCTCCTGGCTCCAGTGCACACTCTTGGCTTCTCCTTTGGATCTGGTGTAGACTCGTCAGCCTTCCATCCCAGATCCATCGGCCTCCTGATGCGGACTTGCACGGAGCGCTGCTGTGGGCTCCAGACCTCGGACTGAATCCTTCAGGGTCCAGTGTGCAGACGCCCTCTGCACGCTTCCTCATCCGACTCTGTGGCTGACCGTCGTAAGCCCATCTGGAATTTCTTGTAGGTTCATACATCTGTGTTATATCCGTATCTCTAATAGAACCCTGACTGATGGAGATTCATAAAAATAGATTAAATAAAACACACACATGTGTACACATGTATATTACATAGTTGATTGTGAAATATATATAATTAAAGAGAAAGAAATTCTGAGCTTCGTGACATTATGGATAACAGGAGAGAGTCATGGTAATTAGAATAAGCCAAGGACAGAAGAACAATTGTGGGACTTCACTTCCATCTGAAATGTAAAGAAAACCAGTATCAGAGAAACAGAGAGGAGGGAGGGGATTACTAGAGGAAAGAAGGAGATTAATGGAGAAGGCAAGATGATGACCAAAAATAGAAAGTTTTAGTAAGACAGGAGAAATATGTTTGCATGATCTGTCGTACTTTGTGATGACTGGGGCCAAAGGCGATGCTTTTTTTATGTATTTCCAAAATTTTTAAATTGATTTTCAACTTTCTCACACAAAACAATAAGTTGGACAAATTATATCCATATGTGTATGTGTTAGTTTTATTTTAATCTTTTTATGATGTATACAGATCAAAACATCACATTGCACTCCATTAAAATAAATACAAATAATTAGTTCATCACAATGAAGCAAAACGTTTTATCACAAATTCTGCATGTAAATTTTGTTTTCATTATATTTCTTTGCCCTACAAAAAAACCCTTGAAGATATAAAAGTATGGAAAGAATGCTATAGACTCAATTCCAGTGTAGGAAGTCTAATTACTGTTGAGCCATCCAAGTAATAACATACGTAGTTAGATGAATATAGGCCCTGAATTCAGAAGGAAACTCAGAACTCTCAGAATTCTTATCCTAGAGACAGGTCTGAAGCAACAGACCTGAAAGACGATATTTTAAAGAGTGCATCGCGAAAGAGTTGTGAAAATCTGAAACAAACATTGAGGAATTTCTTTCTTTCTTTTATCTTTTTTTGAGACAGGATCTTGCTATACAGTTCAGGTTGCCCCGAACTGGTGGTGATCCTCCTGCCTCAGCCTCCCAAGGGCTGGGATCATAGGCATGTGCCACCATGACCAGCAGGAATTGCAATACTTGGAACTAAGTAGGAAAGTTTAGATGGCAAAACACTAAGAAAAAAAAAGGCTAGACGTTCAAGAAAACATGCAAACGTTGCCGCTGCCATTTCTGAATGTTAGAGTGTTGACTTGAATTGAGAAATATCTAGGCATACTTCTGGGTGAAACTGCAGGGGTTGTTTCCTGAGACACTTGGCAGGAGGGACAGTAAACATCGTGGGACACCAAGCCTGCATAGCGGCTCCAGCACCATCCAGCATGCTGGGGCCCTGGGTGGTGCAACCACAGAAGCAGAGATGTGCCAGCGCCTGTCCTCAGCCTCTGCCTCCCGGCTGTCGTGCAGCAGGCAGTCCCGCTCCTCGACTGTCTTGTTTCTGCCTCACGCCAGGTCCAAGCGACGGAGCTGCCCTACCACAGACTGCAGCCTCCAACACCGGAAGCCACAGTAAACCTTCACTTCTAGAAAATGATTTTCCTGGGAATTTCATCCCAGTGATGCAAAACTTACTATGGCACCAGGGCGAAGGGAAAAGCACTGCTGAAAAGCAGAAAATTGATCTGCTTGTTTTCATAACTTCTTAGTTATGAAACTGAAAGACACAGAGATGCTGATTCATAAGAGGATATGCGGAATGTCTCACGAGAATGATGGGGATAGTTTGAAGACAAATGTGGGCAGCTTGAATAAATAAATGAGGAGATCTGAAAAGGAGGTGGGGGAGGGCTATTTCAGGCTTCTATTAAGTGGCACCATTAAGGACAAGAAATTGGCTGCTACATGGAGCACTAGGCATCGTCGTTGTCTTTAACTTCGGACCTAGAAGGCCTGAACTGAGGAAAGATTCTATTAGGTGAAGAAATTAGGGAAGACAACCAATCAAAGAGGCTAGGTGCAGCTGCGGCTTCTTTTGCCCTAAGGGGTCGCTCATGCATCCTCCGAAACCTGCATGTGGGGGCCAGGGTTGGGGCAGCAGGAAACTCGCACCTGCTGTGTTCGGTTTCTGAGGGACTTTTCTGATGCCGAGAGCACGTGGATTGCCTCATAACTCTGAAGAACAATGAAAAAAATAAATCTGTAATGATCCTCTGTCAGCCAAGCAGAGAAGGCTAATAGGATTTCTGCGCTATATCAAAGGTATCTGAGTTGCCACAGGTGTCCCCTCAAAAAGGGTTAGCAGCAGTTACGGCCCCACCTTGAGTTCCCAGACTTGAAACAAAGGAGTAGAAAACTAAGGTTTTCAATAAAGATGGATACGTTTAAAACTAAATAAGCAGCACCACAAAAGTCTCTTTTGATATTTTAAAACTATTTCTTCCTCTATGCTCATCTGAGTCTTCATATCTGAGTTTCCAGCTCTTTCTCATTGTTCATATTCAAGTTGCCAAATTGGCCCAGGGGATAACCACTTTCTTTTATTTGAAAATGTTGAGTTTCTTCCCTTGCCTAACACCCTGGAATAAAATCTTGAAATAGTTTTGTGTCTGAACATTTCGATTTGGTCCAGGTATCCGTGGAGAGTTTTGTTTCTTTGCATTCTAGGTAGGATGTGCAATCTGTAGGTTCAGAATGGAGAGAGAGATGAAGCACGCCCCTGTAGAACTACTTCTCTGTCAGGCAGAGGGGCCTAGAGTTTTCACTTGTTTGTCAAAAGAGCAAGTTCCTAGCAATCAAGTAAAAAAAAATGCTATTAAGAGGTGATAGAGTTTGACTCTTTTGAGTGCATTATTTTTATCTTTTCATTGTGCAGCAATTGATAAGATTTATCTGCAAAGACAGGTGAGTGTGTTTTCTTGGCCAGCACATTACAATTCTCATCATCACCCTAATGAAACAACTCTGTCCTTTGACCCTAGCAATCTATCCACCCATGCACCGGAGAAAGACAGGTTCCAAGCCATCCTGCTCTAAAAACAATATACTGGAGCCATTTAGAAAATTCCAGATCTGGAGCAATGGTGAAAAGACTGGCTATAGAAATGAAGAAAAGAGATTGTCAAAATGAAGGACAGAGATAAAATAAGCATTGCATCCAAAAATTACGCAGCAGTGGATTGGATTTAAGTTTTACATTCTTATTTGCTCTCCAAGGTGAAAACATGCCTATTTGTTGCCTACTGACAGAGTCAGAGTTTTGAAGCAAGAAGATCTGAAAGAGGTTTTCCAATATATGCTGGAAGAGGGAGTCCACTGGAGAAGGCTAATAGGATTTCTGCGCTATATCAAAGGTATCTGAGTTTGGAGAGCACTCAGTAACCAATATAGTACCAATCTGTGCGAATGTATATGTTTATTGAACACCATTCAGCTATAAGGTGATAGAGTAGGAGAATTTTCATTGATCAAGAGCTGGTATGAAAAAAAACCAAAAAAAAAAAAAAAA